AAAAATAAGGAAGACACTCAGACCCCCTCTCTTGGACACAATGTGATATGTGAGGGCAGGGACCATTGGTGGCCATTTCCTATCATGTCAAGGGATCTGGATCAGAGAAAATAAAGCAAAGAGATGGGGAGGCATCCCCCTGTCATTGGTTTTAGTCATTCACACCCCAGCCCATGCCCCAGTTTGGTTATGTAAGCCAACAAATTCCCCTTTTTGCCCCAGTTGGTCTGAACTGCATTTCAATTATCTGTTACCCAATTAGGCCTAGAATCCCGGATGTCTGTGATAGCCTCCTGACTGGTCTCCCCATTTCCATTTACCTGCTCTAATCCACTTTCCTTCCACGGAGTGATCTCTTCAAAATTTACATCTTGCTGCTGAAGAGCAGTGACTGGGTTAAACTCTCAGCCCCACCCTTTATTACCTGTGCTTCCTTGGGAAAATTATTTAACCTGCCTGTGCCAAAGTTTCTAAATAGGTAGAAAGGGAATAATCACACCTCAAAAGGTCATTGTAAGGCCCAAATAAGAAAAGTAAACTTAATATACTTAATAAGTACTCACTTAATGTTAGCGAGTAGTGGTATTAGCAGGAGTGACTCAGATCATATCACTACCCTACCTTCTCCCTGACCTAGTTTCAAAGCATGCTCACTAGGCATTAGTGACTCGCCTACTACCTACCTATCCACTAACCTTGTGGCTCTTGATGGGATGGCCTGAGGGAGCAGGGCTTTAGGGCCTTCACACATGCTGTTTCCTCTCCTAAAATGTTCTCTCCCGCCTTCCCCCACCCCTTGCCCTGGCTAAATCCTCCTCCTTTTGCCTCAGCCCAGTTATCACTTGCTTCACTTCTCTAATCAAAGTTAGGGTCTACAGATATACTCCCTTCACAGAACGAGCAGTAGTACGATTTCTTACCAGGAGAAGTAGAAAAACTGTTCACAGATAGTCTTTATTCAGATTAAACTGACATCTATTTTGATGGATAGGTGCTTATGCTGTGTGCCCTGTTAACTCTTTTGAATATCATCCTTGTGTAAAATCTGTTCATTTCTTTCAAAACAATGATCACAATTGATTTGCATATATATACACACACACACAGAGGAATACCTATATATGTATTATATATATATAGAGAGCTGTTTCTTCTTCTCTACACTATATGTTCTGTGAGTATGGAGATATACATGTTTTGTTCATCACTGTATACCTAATGACTAATGCAGTAGTTGGTACATTGTTGGTGCATAACACAATGAATATTTGCTGAAAGAATGAGTGATTTCTTTGGCAATTACTGGAAAAGTTAGACTGGAGGGAGGTGCGGCAACCAGCCTAGGTTCTGTTAGGATTGGAAATAGACTCTTGAGCATGGGGGTAGAGTGGGGTGAGTTAATAAGAGGAGACTGGTTACAGGGTTGTTCCACTCTCTCACCCACCTGAGCAGCTGGAGTTGATAAAGAGGTAGCAGGTGCCAAAAGAGAACTTGCTTCCTCATCCTGCATTATTTCACTCATCCCTGGCTAGCTCAGTTTTCTCCATGGGGCTGGTTCTGTAGTCTCTCTGTATGCAAGGGGACCCATTGGAACCTGGGGGCTAGGAAGCCAGATAGTCCAGATTCTTTTTGTGAACTGTGGTCAGTCTGTTGCTATAGGTCTGCAGATGCTGTCCCCACCCTTGAAGTCCAGTTTCCTCATCTTCTCACTTTATATGTGGGGTCCCTAAATCCTGCCTCACCTCCTTCTCTCAGAGCCTTGGGTCCCTAACTCTCAACCTCGTACTAAGTTAAAGTGGAGGTATTTTCTCTGCCCTCTGGCTGTTGGCCAGTGGCCACAGTTCTTCACCACATGGGCCTCTCCTCCTGACATGGCAGCTGGCTCTCCCTGAGCCACTGATCCAAGAGAGAAAGGAAAGCAGAAGCTGCAATGTCTTTTAGCATCAGAAGTGATATACCATCACTTCTGCCATATTCTATTGGTCACATAGACCAACCCTGATTTAGTGTGGGAGAGGATTACACAAAGATGTGAATACCAGAAGGGAGGGATCATTAGGGGCCATTTCAGAGACTGGCTACTACTCAGGAGTTAGAGGAATTTGGAGAATGAAGAGGTTTTAGGACTTGCCGAAGGGAGATGGAGAGGACATTAACCAAGTGCCTATTATGGGCCAAGTCCTTTATATTATCTATATTAATCTTTTCCACAACACTAAGGGGTAGATATTATTCCCATTTTTCATATAAAGGAATTGAAAAAATGGAAAAAATGATTGTCCAAAATCAAATCCAGTAAGTAGCAGAGTCAGAATTTGCACATTGTTATGTGTGCCACCAATGTTGATCTATTACATTTGGTATGTACCAAAGGGTGGGATATATGCTACTGGTGATATAAGAAGTAATTTTAATAGTATAGAGACACAGAAGTAAGTAACACTGAAAGTATAAAAATTAAATGCTTTTCAATATTCTGATGATGTCAAGAAAAAGCTTCAGTTTGGGAGACTTATGCCTTATTACCTCTATAACATTTGTTAATTTCTTTCTCTGAGAAAGAGAGGGCAGGCCCCGGGTTCACTAGCTTTGACATTGATGTTATTTTGGTAGAATTTAATAATATATTTCCTTTTCATTGTATTTCTTTTTATAGTTACTTTCTGTTTGTGGGCAGGTGATACTGATTTTAAATTTACTAAAGAAATATGAAGTTTGGGTTATATCCTTCATTTGAAACTGATACAGGGAATTCCCTGGTGGTTTAGTGGTTAGGATTTGGTGTTTTCACTGCGGAAGCCCAGGTTCAATCCCTGGTGGGGGAACTGAGATCCCCACAAGCCACACAGCACAGCCAAAAAAACCAAAAAACAAAAAAAACCTGGTAAAACTTTTTAAAGTAATAAATAGTAGTAGTTCAAGTGAAACCTGGGTATGGCAAAAATTGTGAGGATGGTACTGAATGAGGTTTATTGTCTTCCCTCAGCTCTATGTTGAGAAAGAAGCCAGTCTGCAGTGCCAGCCTCAGCGTGGTTCTGCTCTGGGCACTAGCTGGAGAGAATCAGAAGTTAAAATTTACAACCAGTCCTTTACTGTGAGATTTCCTAAGCATTTCTCCTTTATCCCGTGAATTCTTCGGGACTGTTGGGGAGTCTTATACACAGATTAGTGAAACTGGGAATGAGAGCGATTTTAGTGGGAAATCTAAGCTTCCCGCCCTATTCAATTGCGAATTACAAACCAGGTGTGGTTGGTGGAGATAGTACAGTACAGTGGGGAAATGCCAGAGGGAGAAATGGACATAGTATGTGGATTTTCCAATCTCTTAGTCCCTGATCCAACTCCATAGTCCGTGATTTTTGGGTCCTCCAATACTTCCAAGCTACATATTTGAAGCTTCTATGAGGATATGAACAGGACCAAAGTTTTAGGACATATGGGATGTGGATGCGAATTTCTATACTGGAGGAGTTTGGGATGGGGGAACAATGTGGTTAGAAAGGGGTTTCTTAAGTTGCGTTTGTACACGATTTTACATAGTATGCAAACTCAAGTGTCTAAACAGGTGGTTGGTTGGGGGGAGGGGACCTCAACAGGAGCGGAGCGAGGAAGAGGGGCCGGACAGGCGCGAGGTGAGTGAGGAGCAGCCCAGAGAGCGTTGTGACGCCAGCTGAGGCCCCGCGACGTGTCCTCCCTGATAAATTTACTAAAGAAATATGAAGTTTGGGTTATATCCTTCATTTGAAACTGATACAGGGAATTCCCTGGTGGTTTAGTGGTTAGGATTTGGTGTTTTCACTGCGGAAGCCCAGGTTCAATCCCTGGTGGGGGAACTGAGATCCCCACAAGCCACACAGCACAGCCAAAAAAACCAAAAAACAAAAAAAACCTGGTAAAACTTTTTAAAGTAATAAATAGTAGTAGTTCAAGTGAAACCTGGGTATGGCAAAAATTGTGAGGATGGTACTGAATGAGGTTTATTGTCTTCCCTCAGCTCTATGTTGAGAAAGAAGCCAGTCTGCAGTGCCAGCCTCAGCGTGGTTCTGCTCTGGGCACTAGCTGGAGAGAATCAGAAGTTAAAATTTACAACCAGTCCTTTACTGTGAGATTTCCTAAGCATTTCTCCTTTATCCCGTGAATTCTTCGGGACTGTTGGGGAGTCTTATACACAGATTAGTGAAACTGGGAATGAGAGCGATTTTAGTGGGAAATCTAAGCTTCCCGCCCTATTCAATTGCGAATTACAAACCAGGTGTGGTTGGTGGAGATAGTACAGTACAGTGGGGAAATGCCAGAGGGAGAAATGGACATAGTATGTGGATTTTCCAATCTCTTAGTCCCTGATCCAACTCCATAGTCCGTGATTTTTGGGTCCTCCAATACTTCCAAGCTACATATTTGAAGCTTCTATGAGGATATGAACAGGACCAAAGTTTTAGGACATATGGGATGTGGATGCGAATTTCTATACTGGAGGAGTTTGGGATGGGGGAACAATGTGGTTAGAAAGGGGTTTCTTAAGTTGCGTTTGTACACGATTTTACATAGTATGCAAACTCAAGTGTCTAAACAGGTGGTTGGTTGGGGGGGGGGGTCCTAGGTAACAGGGGCAAGTTTAGTCCAAGAGTCTTGGTAACAGCACCGGCCGGACTATTTCAGCCCCCACGAACCCCCAGCCCTCTGTTCCCCCTACATTCCCTCTGAGTGAGTCTGTCCGTGTCCCAAACCGTCCCCGCAGGAGGGCACTCTGCCAGGTCACTTGCCCAAGCCCGCGGGAGCGTTACCTAGGCACCCGCACCCCTCCACCCCCCCACTCTGCCCACGTGACCTGGCCTACTTTCTCCCCTCCCGACCTAACGACTCGTTCGGAAAGCCCCGCCCCACGCAGTGCGCTCGGCCGGCGAACCTCCGCCAGTTATCCGCCAGAGCTCCAGCGTGGCTCGCGGCCCCCACGTGTTTCTTCCTGTCCAATGGGAATCGGCTCCCGGGCGCAGAGGGGCGGGGAGGAAAAGACAACTTCGTTACGCTTCGAGAAAGGGGCGGGGCCTGCAACGTCGTACTGAACGAGGGGACGCAACGGAGGCAGGCCGGAGCTGCTGCCGTCGCCATGACCCGTGAGCACTGAGACCCCCTCCTTTTGCCCTTTTCTCCTTTTCCATCCTAAACATGACTGCCGAACCTCGGCATTGACCTCGTTTTGGCTTCCCCAACGAGACCTTTCTCTAGGAGCACTGTTTAGCGACCCTCACACTTGGAGCCCGGAAGTCGACCCTTTGCCCACCGAGACACTTCTTGAGAACCTCCCCACCTCGTCAGGCACAGGCCCTCCCCGACGCTCTGCGGTGTGGGAAGAAGCCCTGCGCCCCTGTTATAGACCCAGATCCCCCCCATTTCCAGATCCCTGCCCATCCCCCACAGAGACCCAGACCGTCTACACATACCGCCACCCCGTCTGGGCCCCCATGCTGCCCCGAAATTCGAAGCACGCTTCTAGCAGGCTCCTCAGGACCGTCCTCCGTCCACTCCCCACTTTGACCTGCCCCGTGGCAGCTCCCCACTCCGCCCAATCTGCAGCCTAGGCCCCGAAAAGGGCCGGTGTCGGCGCCCCAGGAATGAAGTGTTGGACCCTACGAGTGTCCGGTGAGGGGAGAGGATCGCCGGTGTGTGGCCAGAAAGGCCCTCGCGTCTCACCTTTTATCTTCTTTCTCTAGGCGGTAACCAGCGCGAGCTCGCCCGCCAGAAGAATATGAAAAAGCAGAGCGACTCGGTTAAGGGAAAGCGCCGAGATGACGGGCTTTCTGCTGCCGCCCGCAAGCAGAGGTAGCCCCAGGGAGGGGAGGGGAGGGGTGGGGTGAGACCTGGCTTTAGACCAAGGGTTGTACCTGGAAAGAGTTAGCTCAGAGCTTACATCTGGACTAGTCGTGAGGGGCAGAGTGCATTGTTTCCTCTAGGGTTTTATTCCTCTCACCCTTTAAATTGTTAGCTCACAGCGTTATAGGAAGGGACTGGGGCGGGTGCTGCCCTCGGTCTGATTTCTGAGTGCGCCCGGGTCTGACCTTAAGGGAAAGGGCAGGGAGCTTCACATTTCAAATGCAGTGGTGGTTATGACAGCCCAGTACTTTTGGCCCTCCTTGCTGTTCATTTGTCCTCCCTTCTCCCAGCCTTCTCACTGGTGTTGCTGGGTGTGGTACTCAGCACAGAATAGCCTTGGGCCTGTGGCCAGACTTCTGACCCCTCGGGCAATAGCCAGATAGAGACTGATTGCCTTTTGAGCCTCAGCTGTCTTCCTCTTGTTCTCCTAGGGTGGGAATACAGCAGCCACATGCTGGATTTTGTCCCATCCACTTCCATCTTATCCTTTGTGCCCTTCATCCCCCTGCATCTTGTCCCTTTTGCCCTCTGGTACCTCCCAGTGCCCCATCATCTCTACCCCCAGGGACTCGGAGATCATGCAGCAGAAGCAGAAAAAGGCAAACGAGAAGAAGGAGGAACCCAAGTAGCTTTGTGGCTTCGTGTCCAACCCTCTTGCCCTTCGCCTGTGTGCCTGGAGCCAGTCCTACCACGCTCGCGTTTTCTCCTGTAGTGCTCACAGGTCCCAGCACCGATGGCATTCCCTTTGCCCTGAGTCTGCAGCGAGTCCCTTTTGTGCTTCCTTCCCCTCAGGTAGCCTCTCCCCCCCTGGGCCACTCCTGGGGGTGAGGGGGTTACCCCTTCCCAGTGTTTTTTATTCCTGTGGGGCTCACCCCAAAGTATTAAAAGTAGCTTTGTAATTCCTTGAGCGCCTGGTTTGACTGGGGATTTGGGGGGATGGGGATGGAGGAATGGCTGCCCTTTCCCACCAAGAGGGGAGAGAACTTCAGACTCTAAAAGGATGTGGATATGTAGACTAAGTGAAACATCACAGGAAAAAATTCTTTTTTGTACTGCAACAAACAGGTATTCTGGGTATGTGGTAGAGAAATCCTCTAAGAGCCTTAGGGACTTCTTTTCTGTGATTTTTTTTGTCCCCCACTCAGACCCTGAACATCATCCTACGGATGGAGTTGAGGTCCTAAGAAGGAAGGCTGCAAGACCTAAATTTATGCCCCTCTTCCTCATTCTTCCTCAGTTTGTTTGCCTGCTTGGAAGTTGGCCCAGATCCTGCTGCTCACTGACTTCCCATGGTTAGCCGCTCTCAAGTGTTCACATTCTCTTCTGTTCTGTCATTCCTCATGTGAGGGTGGTTTCTGTCGTCCCATTTCCTTTGACCTCAACATCAGGATTAAAACCTAGGGTAGTCTCTGTGCTCCTTTCTTCCTGTGTCCTGGTTTGTTCTAGGGTTCTGGGCTTCTTAAATCCCTGTACCCAGGGCTGAATTCCTTATTTTCCTTTTTATCTCCAAGGGCAGAGCCAAGTAAGTCTTCAGTCCCTGTTGGTCTTTCCCTGCCCCCATCTCCACCATGAGAGCCAGGAAGGAGGTGGTACCACACTGTCTGCTGGTTCCTGAGCTGCTGACTTGGGAGTCAGGCTCTTGAGCTGGGGTGAAGACGTAACGGTAGCTCCAGCGTGTCAGATACTCTGCCCAGGGCATTAGGGTGTGTATGGCCACTTTTTTCAAGTCAGACATACTACTGACTTTAGCCTAAAGGGAGCTAACTACCCATTATGTCCTTGAGGTATTTGTTGGGCTGGACAGCTCCTGTGAGTCAAGACTAGGGGTAAAATTTGAAGGGAACCCCAGTTTGTTAAAAGTACCTAGACTGGATATTTGTTATCTGGCAATACTGACGCCATGACAGTGTCACCTGAAGATAAGAGGAGGCTGGGGGTCCTGGGTTGGGGACCAACAGAATGGTGCCAGTAGCAGCCCCAGATAGAGGAGTACACAGGCCTAGCATGAGGCAGCCTTGACCCAGAAGGTAGTCCAGCTACCTGTGGTGAAAGTCTTTTCCAGTTCTGCTCCCTCATAGCTGTGGAACCAAAGTGTCTGGTTAGAGAATCATGACTTTTAGATCTGTCCTTCCACCCCACCGAAGAGTATGGTATATGGTAGACCCATGTGTGTGTCCTGAGAACTCGGGACTGGCCTTGAATTGCTCTTTC